TTATTTTTACTTAAAATAGTGGATTAGTAGTAGTGATTTCATGTTGAATTTATGAGACTTCTGTTAAACATTGTAATGATTTTGATATCTTATTAGAATTTATAAATATACAGTTAATTTAGTCTCACAAGGTTAATTATTATACTTACCAGATTGAAAAAAATATTGAAGAATTGTTTACTAGGTTAAATTTTAAGTATAAAAGTCGTGATAATTGTTTCATGTCTTATCCAATAGCAAATACTATGTTTTTAAATGAYAGTCTGCTGATTCAAWYTATATATATTTGAATTCATTGTCAAGCTAATGAGTTCTAATTTCTTACAAATTTAAAATTTTATTCAAATATTTTAAGATAAAACATAATATTCATTATTGAAATATGTAAGAATGAGTTTTGAAGTTAAATTTTAATTTATGCATTTTCTCCTTATTAAGTAAATTGGTTGTAATTTCTTAATAAAAATAAACTTTCTTGTTTAAATAGGACATTGCTGCATATATAAAGAAAGAATTCGACAAAAAATATAATCCAACTTGGCATTGTATTGTTGGTCGCAATTTTGGAAGTTATGTTACACATGAAACGAGGCACTTCATATACTTCTATCTGGGCCAGGTGGCCATATTGCTATTCAAGAGCGGTTAAACTTTTAATTGATTATTGCACATGTCCCCTTCCAATATGCAAAAATTAATTAAAAAATAAAACAAATATTTCACCACCTACTCTTACAAAAATAAATATTTTTATGAGCATTAGCCATTCGTTTTATTTTTTTTTCTAAATTTTTGATTACCAAAATTATACAATATTATAACATTCCCTGTGCATTTTTAAAAATATTATTTATAAGAGTTAAATGACTATATCTATTGGAAGGGCTTGACAATTTTTCTCATTACTTACTATTTTTATTATTATTTTTTTCTAAACTAAAATGTGCGAGTAGCTTTTAATATATATTATATATATATATATGAGTGTGCCATCATCAACTGTGGCTTATACTCTTTTTATTCCCCTCGCCGTTTTTAACTCCCTYCTTAACAGGCTACTCTCATTCTTGCATTACTATTTTATTAAAAATATGTTAACTACACAGTAAACAAATATTTTATTAGTATTTTCATGTCCTCAACTATATTATTATTGTAATTATTTCTAGTCCATTAAAAAGCAAATATGTTAATGAAATTTGGGACTGTATCGTGTATAATTTAAATAGTTACTTAGATTATGTTGGATTGCATGTATGTTCATAATATTAAGAAAACTTTTGTAACCAAATTAACAGTTTTTAAATGTCTTGTAAATTATATGCAGTCCAACATTACAATGATAATAATATAACATTATTTTCAATGGAATGAGAACACGTCACCGACATAGATAACAGTTAAAAGTGGATTATGTTGTTATTGTTTACTTATGTATAATTTTTTTTTTATTAATATGTTTATGATACTTATAGATCTTTGATAGATTTTTTTTAAATAATTGGTTTATTTATATTTTTTTTTTTTGCAACATAGATATATAAAAATTTATTTTGTGTTCTTTGACTGGTGTAAACAAGAATGTTTCAAGTAGCGTCTTAACATTGATGATTAATAAATTCTAAAATAAAATTTTAAATTAACAGTTCTATATTCTCACTTAATTATAGTATCATAATTAATTATTTCAATATTGTTTTTGATTTGAATTGATTGTAAGTTTTATAATTTGAACCCTGAGTGAATTGCTACAACACCAAATGTTAAGTTTGTGTAACTGACACATCTGAAGCCTGCTGACTCAATCATATATTTGAAATCTTCCTAAAAAAAAATATCAAATTTTAGTGAATAATACAATGATATGAATTATGTTTTAAATCCAGAACCATTTCACATCAAAATCAAAGACTTAGTCATTATTTAATTAGTCACAGAATTTTAATAATATGCCCTTATTTTACTACTTTATTGATGAATTATATTATCAWTTTTATGAAGCTAATAATACAAACCAAGAGGGTGGTCTACGAATTTAAACAATGTATAGAGTAAAAACTGGGCTCAATCAAGTTCAGTAAATTAACCTATACTACAACTTTAAAGTGGTATTCATATATATTTACCTGACATGGAAATTTCCTAATGCTTTCCACTAAGTATTGGTAAGGTTTCCACTGACCAGCAACTATATGGCCCATAACAGGGATTACGTTGAATGAATATTGATCGTAGAACCTTCAGAAAAAATACTTTTAAATTGTTATATAAAAGTCCAAAAAAGGAATATCAAACCATCTTAAAGCTGCTGGATTGACTTGGCTAAATTCTAGACATAGAAATCTACCTCCGGGTTCAAGTACTCTGTAGGCTTCATCTAAAGCTTTATCGATGTGTGTTACGTTTCGAATACCAAATGCTATTGTATAAGCAGAATAAGAATCTGATTCCATTGGTAAGTTCTCTGCATCACATTCTATCCAYGAGACATTGTCTTGATTTAACTCCAAATTTAATGCCCTTTTTTTTCCTTCCTCCAGCATTGAACCATTAATGTCAGCAATTGTCACATGCCCATCTCCTTTCATATCTGATATATATTTTAAATATCTGAAAGCAATATCTCCTAAAACAATGATTTGAGTTTAAATTTGTATTCACCATCGTCATAATTTTATGTAGGTACCTATTTATACTTTGATATTTTGTGTATGAAATTATTTAATCTAAGTTCTGCACAGTACTATTTTTTTAATACTTGACCAAATATTAAAAATTATTTTGAATTAAACAATTGATCATAAATTGATACCATCTAGATAAGATACTCATTATTTAATATTACGGTCATGAAGACCCACTGAACAGGTTTTAATTAATGCTATCTTTATTGAAAATTAAAATAGCCATCTTGTATTGCATAAATAACCTACCTGTTCCACCAGCAACATCTAATAGTCGTGTACGTGGACTTGGATCCAATGTTCTCATCAATTCGTCTTTCCATAATCTATGTACACCACAGCTCATAACATCATTCATAGCATCATATGAATCCGCAACACTTTTAAAAACTTGATGCACTAAAAATGTCATTATATGATTTTTAAAGTAACAAAATAATTATAACATTGCTAATATTTGCTTAAACTATTTATTTGTATAAAATCAAATTATAATATAAATATATATTTAGRTTCAAAATATTTATAATAAATATTATTTTAAAGTTTAGGTAACAAGTAAAATGCACTATTATTATATTAAATTTTTATCAAAAATATATTTCAGTTGATTCGATTATATTAGTTGGTTGAAATTTCTTATAACTAATAAATTAACTCCAATAAAGTTTTAGTTTTAGATACATACTTAGGTATATGGAGTTTTCATACATCAACTATTTATCATTTATTTAAAATTATAGTTAAAAAACAAACATACAATATATATTTATATTTCGATRCATTTATAATTAAAAATCGAATTATTGATACTTCAGTCACACATAAACCAARGAATAAAATTTATATATACCTCATAAATTAYAATATGTTTAAGTAAAATCAGCTTAATTTTAATATACCTAATACAATTTAATGTTTTTAATTATTCAAAGTTAAGTTAATATTATTTATAATTCAAAAAGATTTTATTTAATCCCCACAGAGTTACAAATCTAAAATTGTACGCCACAAGGTAATGCTTATTTTATTATCCAACTATTTTAAATTGATACATTTTTGTAGATCACTTGAAACTTTTTAATCATCATCACTATCCCAGTTAAGTGATACAAAACTTTTGTTTTGGCGATCAGGAGTGTTATCTCCCCATTGAGGCGTATTCAATGTTTCTCTCCGAGACGAATTATCTATTGATCTCTTCTCACTTTTTGTACTGTTTTTTCTTTCTTTATTTGTTTTGGAAATAAGTTCTTGGTCTCTTTTACTAGAAATACTTTTATTTTCTCTATGACTATGGCTTGATTTTTCATTTCGATTTCTTTGAGGTTTTGATTGATATTTACCACCAGGATTTTTATATAAATGCAAATAATTACAATTTTTGCCTTTTGGACACATTTTTCTAAAAAATAAACCACATACCGCTTCAGACCATGAAGGAATAGTACAGAATTCAGCAGTTATCTTGCGTCCACCATAGAAACGACCACATAAGTTTCGATATGCTTTTAAAGAATGTCGTCTACTTCTATATTGGACATAAACATTTCCCATAAGATGTATTTCTTGATTTCTACAAACATTAAGTTCAATTATTTGTCCATAACTTCTAAGTTCAACTAATATATCTTCAAAAAATTCATAAAACTTTTCATATGCCTCTTTTTCATCACATTCCAAACCAATATCAATATCGAATTCACGTTCATAGCGCATGTTCAATTCAAAATTTTTATAAAATCCAGGAATCAACAATGTATTACTAATGCCTGGTCGAATATGATTTCTTGAACAATTTTCGCGGAAGCGACAAGCAGCAACTTTTGAAAAAAAAGGACACAGTGGTTGGTCCGGTCTTGTACTTGTACTAACATTGATAGATTCAGGCAGCGGACCCAAATTGTTGATATACATTTCAATTTCTTCAATAAATTTAGCATTTATTTCTTCTCGTTGCTGTTCTTCTTTTTTTTTATTTTCTTCTATTTCTTTAAKTTTCTTCTGTTCTCTTTCCCACTCTAATTTAATTAATAATTCTTTTTGAGCTTTTTCTWGTTTAATTTTTTCCAACTTCTTCTGTATTGATTTCCATTCTTCAATAGCTTCACACTCTCTTTCAACCCATTTAGTATATTGCATATTAGCAATCCGTTCATTTTCCTTTTGTTCAAACTCTTCAGATTCTTCTTGACTTTTWAGCCATTTGTGATATGTTGGAGAGTTTTTACGTTCTTGTTCTTTATGTCGAAGGAGTTCTTCTCGTTTTACTGCTTTGAGTTGTCTCCGAAGTTTGCGACGAATTTTTTTCCATTTATAACGCAATATCTTATGTTTTTTCATAACTATACCTAAATAGATGTTGCGAGAATTAACACGTTTATAAAAGATTTTAAAATACCTTTTTTCGATTTTTCAGCTTGGTCGACTGTTTGAAAACCAAAATGTGTTTGAGTTGAGTATARTGCTGTGAACTTAAAGTAATGTGCAACAGACTTGTTCAATCTATTAAATATAATACTCATTTTCGAAAAAAAATTGAGAAACGGTGATGGAGAAATAATAGTTCAAACAACTTTAGAGTTCATTTCACTGAAGTTAATGTGTACCACTAAACAATTAATAACAATASTAATAATACTTAATAAAAAATTTATCCTGCAATGATGGTGACGGCAACAAGATTAGTTTAATATTTGACGAGTACTTTGTTAGATTTAACACTTAGCAGTTACTACTTTACTAGTTAGTATGTCTATTGTAGTATTGTCTGTTAACAAAACAACTGTTTAGCCCATGATATAATTATATCATGGTTTAGCCTTTACTCGGTGGCCGGTCGTCAAAGCCCACAGATTTAGATAATATATTATTATCTATTCTGTAATCAAAGCCTGTTCTTTCATTCAAAACTCTATGATTCAAACCGAGTGATAAGCACTATCTATTATATGAGTCGATTGAACATTCGAGAACATTGCTTGAAAAAATACATAGTTCAGTTAAATATCAAACAACTCACTCAACTCAGATTTTTCTGCTGACGGAGTCACGGAGAACACATCGGACACAGATTAAAAATGTTTAATTTTATTATGTATTTCTTTATTCAAGTATGATAAATGTTATCTATATAATATGTGTTACAAATTATAGTGTAGGTATAATACTATAATAAGAAAATCAATAAAAAAAAAWTATCCCGGTTTTTGCCAAATAAAATATGGTAACCCTAGTTTAGACAACAATTTGAATAATTTATAAGTTAAATCAATTAATAACTAAATAAACTTATATGAGTTGTAAGAATTTAATTTGTCATTAATTATTAATACATTATAATAGATCCATTAAATGTAGTGAAATAAACACACTTATTTACGTTTTTTCTGTTGTAAGTTATRACTCATACACAAATTACAGTGAAAATTATACAGTAATTGAGATTATGATTATGTGTGAATATTAACTTAATAAATAGCGATTTAAATACCAAGCCTAAACAATCGTAGAATGATTATTTTAAGGGTTACAGTCAAAAGACTGTAAATCGTGTGTATTTTACAGGATTTTGGTTGAGTTGCTATAACTTGTTTAATTTTGGACWTAGAAAGTTGGTTTGACTACCAAAATCATAAAAAAATTATGCGAAAAATAATTAGTGATTAAAATAGGTGGTTACCATTTGAAAAAAGTTTTACTGCGCATGCTCATGTCAAATTAAGTTAGAAAAATTTAAAACCCATAAAATGTGTATTTTTATGCCATAACAACCGACCAACCAACAGAWTTTATTCAAATCGTAGGTCTCTACATAMATTTATTGAGTCTTTTCAATTAGCGTTTACACACTGCATAATTATTTAGGRTGATTCTTTCATAATAAAACACTCATTATTTCGTCAAGTAATGACTTTTTTTCAATATATTCTGTTTCGTGGTTTTCTAAAATTTTGTATGAAATTTTTATTTTTTTTCACCCATTTGTTTAATAGTGAAACCACTATCAACTTTTGATTTTCTAATGACTACCCATATTTAAAGAGTACTAAATTAATAAGGCCATTTTCTTTTTATTTTATCGTTCGGATTATCATTTTTGTAAATTTTTAGTGAGATATAACTTTTTAAAATTTTGCTGTCTTCGTATTATTAATATAATATGAAATTCAGTATTTGACACATAGAGCGCGTCCGAGTATTTTCAGGGGGCTATTTCATCTACAATTATATCATTATAATTTATAATATATTATATTATCCTACTGGCTAGGTACTAGTGTACTACCACAGAATAGAATATGGTACTACCCATTTGAGTTGTCTTTTGGGCATTAAATATGAATAATATTATAATCTAAATCTACTATTTCAATAATTGTGGTGATGACTAATGGTTCGTAGGAGTATGTACAAGTCCAATGAGTCGATACCCCACGAGTGT